TTTTATCTGTTGATTAGGGCCGGAGGAAAGTATTGTTGGGTTGGTTACCTCCCTCCGTTTTCCCTCCCACCCACCCCTTGCATGGATCCCGTTTCGGTACAGTGCCAAGTCACAGTGCCACGTCATAGTGCCAGATCAGCGGTGCCACGCCAGCAGTGCCAGGTCACATTGCCACGTCAGACATAGTGCCACGACAGCAGTGCCACATCAGCAGTACCACGTCAGACACAGTGCCACGTCAACAGTGCCACATAAGCAGCAGTGCCACGTCAGCAACATGACGGGCCTGCCAGGCCAACTGGCCAATGAGACCATTGCCGCCTACAAGCAGCGTTGCCTGGCTCAGATAGAGGCTGAGGAACAACGCCTGCTGGCAGTCGAGGCTGCCCGCGTACAGGCTGAAGAGGCAGCAGCAGCAGAGAAGCTGCGGCTACAGGCCGATGCAGACGCAGATTCCCAGGCTCGCCGCAAGGAAGCCCAGGATCTGCTACAGCGGCATGAAGCCACAAGCATCGACAGACTCAAGTTTTGGCTGTTTGAACCGAACGGCGACGAGGCAACACCGGAAGAGCAGCATAAGGAGTTCCTCTCCAAACTCGTGACACGGTTGCTGTATGCTTGCAACTACCAACGGTCAGAGTTGGAGAGACAGTACCAGGACGTGACGCAACAGCATCAGGAGTTGGCGACGATCCGCCGCACAGTGCAGAGCCACGAGGATGCAACTCGGGCACTCAATGCCCGTTTGCTGGACCTGGAACAGGCTGTACCAGGACCAACTGCTGGGGCTTCCAGCAGTGCACCCTCTAGCCGCCAACTGGAGGAACACGTTGACCACATCCTGGCAATGCTCGGTGACATTAACACCTTCGCTGCGTCGTCCACCATCAGCACTCAGCTGCATACCTTGAAGACCGAGGTCCAACAGCTGCAGTCGACGAACGCAGATGGCAATCAGAAGATGCCAACTTTCCACGACGCAACTCAGGATTCTGCCTGTCGCTAAGCACAAGTACATCGGCGCCCTGTTCCTGAACTCAAAGGGCGGATGCCAGGCTTGGTTGACCCACCTGGCAACCTCCCACGGCGTCGACGTACCGGACCTCAAGGACAAGATCACATGGAAAGAACTGACACGGTTGTGGAAGAAGCGGTTCATCGTCGACGACGCGCCAGCACTCGCCATCAACCGACTGTTCACCATGTCACAGGGCAACACAGCAACACGGGACTGGCTCACGGAGTGGCAGAAGATTGCGGCTGTGCCCAATCTGAACTTACCATTCGAGCATCTACGCCGTGAGTTCTACAACAGGTCCTGTGCTGCATTGAGCCAGGCTCTTGGTGATCGCGAGCAGTACAGCACTTTCGCAGAGATCATCAACAAGGCGAGAGAGCTCATCAAGACTAACAGGCCGGCTGCACACGAGAAGTCCATGTGGCAGCCAACCTATGTGGAGAAGGTACGAACTGGTCCGCGACAGCAGCAGTTCGCTACAGTCCAGTCGGACAGTGGAGATAACCCAGCAGCCACTCCAGCATCAAGTGATGGAGATCAGGTGGCTGTTGTCCAGCCGCGAAGCACCAAGTCCCGCAACAATGGGAAGGCGAAATCCGCATCGCAGGCCGGAAATGGACAGCCAGGACAGTTTCCATGGGTCAAGTTTGGCTTGACCGAGGCGGAGTACAAGGTCCGCGGCCGTTACGGCTGCTGCTACGGGTGCAACAGCACCAAGCACAAGACCTCCCTGTGCCAGGATCAGGGCAAGGAGGATGTGTGACCCCGCCTCAACTCGGGAAACTGAGTTCCGCGGAAGGTGAGGCGACTCCACCTTCTACTCCGCCAGATTCGGCCGCCTTGCTAGCGGCCTACTGCACATCTGGGGAGGATGCGAATGTCGCAAGTCCTCGGTACGCTTACGAGGATTATGTTGTCCACTTGGTTCCACCGCTGGACCAACCGCTCCACGTGCAACAATCCATCGCATGCACGGTTTCATCACCATCGGCAACCGATTCGGCAGCTTCGCCGCAATCTATCGTCGGGGATTCGACGTCATGGTCAAGACTTGAAGAGCTCGACCCATTGACGTTCACGGACTTCCAATGGATGCCCGTTCCCTCGACCGGACGATTGCTGAAACCGCATTGCAGCGTGCTTATGGCACAATTGCGGGACTACTTGCACACTGCAGTACCAGCTCCGTTGATGGACGCCGGAGCAGAGGTTGTCGACCTTCTCGCGTACATCGCGAAGATCGACCGCGAGTTCAAGACGCAACGGTACGACGACATCGACGCACCATTGCTATACATACGCATTCAGATCGGAGAGGCGACCTGCAGTGCCTTGATCGATTGCGGAGCATCTCGCAACTACATCAGCCAGGACTTCATGGTACGCGCCGGCCTTGGCCCACGCGTCCAGAGGAAGTCCCAGCCTACGCAAGTCACCCTGGCAGACGGTCATACGCACAAGTCCATCGACCGGTGCATTGACGCCGTCCCAATGTACTTTGCCCCTCACACAAGTGAGGCGGTGTCCTTTGACATTTTGGACACCAAATTCTACATGATCTTGGGCATGGCATGGCTGCGAAGCAAGGATCACCTGGTGAACTTCTTCAACCGCACCGTTCACGTTCGTGACCAGAACGGAGTATTAGTTTCATGCACGGTGCCTCTTCCTCATCCTTCGATCAGCTGCCACGTGGTAACCGCCGCAAGCATGCGAGCTTCCATCATCAGAGACGACATCGAGGAGATGGGGGTGTGTTTTCTCCACGCCCTCCCGCCCCATGACGCTTCATCGACGGACTCACCTTCGGATCCACGCATCACCGAACTTCTCGACGCCTACAGC